TTGCCTAAACAGGTGTAGTGAATGGGAATAGGTGCAAATCTGCCAATTCAAGGCTGTTTTTAAATATAAACATTTTTGGTAAAACCTTGATGTATAGCCAAAGAAAAAAAAAGAAATCTGGATGATTTATGTTTGGTTGTTTTTGGACATGGTGGGCAGCAGGCTGGAGCACGCATACAAGGCGTTTTTAGTCCGTTTCAACAGGCTGATGTTTTCATCTGCTCAACATGATCCTGATCTAGTTTTGTGTGCATATTAATGAAAAATGTCTCCCTCTGGTGGTGAAAGCAACACTAAGCTTTTTCTGATCGGCTCACATCTTTGGCCAGTACTGTTTGTGCTACTTGGATATTAGTGTCCACTGTGGTTAAGTCTTATATCTGCATGTGATGATTAACCTGCTTATTTCATGTCAAACTCTTACTGGTGCCTCACAAACCAATTGGATGGAGAGAGATGGAATAAAATAAAAATCATTTTTTTCTTAGTTTAGTGCCAACTGCCAGACGTCCTCACATTAAGTGTAACACAGTTAGCTACCGATGCCACAGTTAACCAGATCATCCTGCATAAAGGAAAATGAAAAGTGCAGCAATTATTGCATAAAGGTAAACAATGGGATTATAAAAGCATTTTAGATATGGAGAAAAGCTCAGCTATGGAGGGATACAGCTGACAGGGCTTTGTGATTGGTATATAATAGCCAGTATATCTGGATGATAGCCAGTGATACCGGAGCTTTCAAATCTTAATTGTGCATATATCAGAATTTATTTATAATGCCAGCAGGTGAGGGAGAAACCCATGCATTTTGATAGGTGGCGTGTCGTAATGGCTTCTTGCAGTGTCCCTGAATGATGCACAATATGGTTTGAAAGTGTCACATTCTTTCCTTAATTTCTTCAACATTTATAAGAAATTGATACTATTCAACTCAGTTAAATGTTCATAATACAAAAATGCAAAAACATTTTAACCTACGTGCCTACTTATTGGTTTAGGATTCTGTTCATACACTAAAATTTGGAATAAAATCCCATGTCACGAGGACGTAGATCCTCAGTTTTAGGATTCATATATGTAGCATGTGTAAATTGTAGATATTTTTTTTTTCTTAATCAAAATTGTAACCACACTGCATAAAATCTCTTCTTATTCTGTACTTGTGTGCTTGTTTATATATATTTGTTTGTTTTTGCTGTAGGTTATGCATATGTTTTATCCAACTTATCTGTTTGTCTTGTTTGTATGCTGTTGTATTCTTTGTCCTCACTGTGGTGGGCAGCAGGAACACCTGACTGAAAACACTATCTAAACCGATTCAGATGCACAGCTGAGTTTTACCAGTCAGTCATTTTTCCTGCCAGAATAATAAAAACTAAAATTAAACAATTCCAAAACGCCTCACACAGTCCTGTTTTGCTGTCGAAAAGTGCCATGTGCAAACACTGTTACAGTGTGATGTTCAGGTTAAATCAAAGTTAAAGACATTATTTGGCTATTTATATACAGTAGATAGAGATAATCACCACTAATATTATTTTCTGAGTATTTAACAGTTCACGCCATCCCTTCAACTCCTGCCCTAGCATTAATGCCAAATGCCATCTGCCCTGCTGTTATAGTTAATTGAGTCAGGTCAGACCTTCAGTAACGGTGTAAGAATTAAATTCACAGTATGAGAGGGTTTTCAGTCCTGCTGGCTCAGCCTCTACTTAATGTTCCTCCTGCTGCTAGAAATGCTCTTCTCTCATGGACTATGACACTCAGAACCTACACAAGCAAAATAGGTGCACTGTGGCGTCCACGTGACGTCTGTTCTTAACAGACTGACATGCACCCGGCAGAACTGAGCTGTACAACCCGTCATTGCATTACACACCAGGGGCTGCACTAATACTCGAGTATAATCCAGGAGCACACTTATGCTGCACTTTCACAGCTGCCACTCTTGTCTTTGCAATTCTTACACTTTCTCTTTCTGTTTGTCATGCCGCTCTTTGACCAGAGTGCTTGGTGTAAAAGAGGTGCAGCTGTCTTTCTTATCCACACTTAAACACACATTTTTGAGTCACAGAACTTTTTAGACCTATCATTCCTGTGTGAGATCACAGAAGACCTGGGATCAAATTCAGTTCTTTAATGCTGCTTAGAGACATACCAGACCCTTCTCTGTTTCCCCCCTGCAGTTGCCCTCTCCAGGGGGCTTTCTGTCAGTCTTTCCACATCAGTGCATATTGTGCAGTACTCCACTGTCTAAAACCTCATCACACTGGTCACCGCTCCCGGACTTTCAGCCCCCAAGGCAGCTCCAGGCCTTCACCCAGACTACTGCCTTACAACTCATGACAAGCACATGATGTAAGAATGGCCACAGCCCAGGTATTAGCTGAGACAAAAACTGAAAAACGAGCGACTAAGGGTTAAAGGCCGAGCTTGCTGAACTGATGGATCATTTTCTATTGTGCTGAGCTTATTCCTTCATGTCTGGCAAACATGCAGAACTCGCTTATCATAGTCTCACCTCATTATTCACACAACATGGATTATTTAAAAATGTCTTGGACTCATACTTGAAATTTTCATTTTCTTGATGTCATAACTGTTAATTTAACTATTAGCATGAGATTTTATTCCAGAACAATCAGATGAGTGCTATACAGGAGTAAAAAGATAATAGTAGTTTTATTTTTATATCAATTTTTAAAATGGTAATTGACAATAAAAGCAGTAAAATCATGACAAAAGTAAGTAAATAAAACATCAACTGGATTAAAACCCAATTGAACAAAAGTTATAAGTCACAGAAGTGCATTTCTAAAAATGGGTTTTTGAGAGATGAAACTGGATTTGCAGCTCTAAATTCCTCAGGGAAGTCGTTCTGAAGTCTGTGAGCTCTGGCTGCAGAGGCTCTGTCACCTTTGGGTTTAAGTCTGGACCTTTGAACAATGAAAAGAGAGGCCTCTGGAGACCTCTGGGGCACAAGGGGACACAGTGCAACAAACAAATATAACTTGGGGCAAGACTTCTATGGGCTTTAAAAATAAGATGTCGAATTTTATTGTCTATTTGGAGAGCAACAGGTCACCAGTGTGAGGGATCAGTGAAATGTGATCATGCTTCTATGAACCAGTTAATTTACTAGCGGCTGAATGTTGGATGAGCTGTAGACTGCTCCCTGATGCCAGAGAGCAGCACATTACAGTTGTTCATTCAACTGGCAATAAAGGTAGATAAAATGGTCTAATCCTTCAAATGTTTCTGAGATGTAGAAAACAGGACTGCACCACTTATGTTTATGTATGTTAAGCTTGCATCCAACCATTACACCAGTCTTCCTGCATTAGACATGTTTATGTATGTTAAGCTTGTATCCAACCATTACACCAGTCTTCCTGCAATGCGGAGTTAATGAGAGGGACAATAAACCGAGGCTGATGAGGATTTGGATGTTTGCACTATCTTGACCAGTCATCGCTGCTTCAGCCCTGACAGCCTTTCGCTGAAGGAAGTTTTGTGACATCCACTTGTGGAGGTCAATATTTTGATAATTGTTTTCAGGGTCACAGCTTAGAAAATGTGGTTATTTGATGTAAACATGGAAACATGTTTATGCACAAGTTGACCTAAAGGAAGCATGTAGATGGAAAAAGGATACTGAGGCTTGAGGTATCCAGAATATATACCTATTGGAGCTGACTTGGAGTCAGCTCATCAAAAACATAGAGCTCCAGAGCCAGGGATACCTGCAGAAAGGTACAGGGAGAGAGAGTCGACAAACTACAGGAGAGAGGGGACACAAAGTTAGTGACATGTAATGGTGCCATGTCCAGTGATTTCATAGACACCACTACATGGGCATAAATGAAAGCAGGACAGCTCAGGCTCCCTGTTTGTTTGCAGTTAATAAGATGGCTTCAGTTTTACCCCTGTTCAGCCACAGTCCTTATGGCGCCATGAAATATCAGACATAACACAGTATGGCCAGTATCTTTACACCATCCCTCACCGTCCTACTAGTATTTTATTGGAAATATTAACAAACAATAGAACAACAGTATTATATCAACCTAACTATAAGCTTTATCAAAAAGGAAAGTTTTAAGCCTAATCTTAAAGGTGGAGAGGGTGTCTGCCTCCCAGACTCAAACTGGGAGCTGGTTCCACAGGAAAGGAGCTTGACAGCTAAAGGCTCTGACATGTCCCCCCCTTATGTGTCTGATGGATGCAGTGATGCTGCATAACCCATGCACTTTTCTTAACAGTTCCTCCTACAGCACACACAAACACTTTTGCAAGCAGAACTAGACAGTGTTTACAGTGCTGGGCACACTGCTGTTGATGCAGTTTGAGTAGTTATGCTAATTGTTGGACATTATTAAACTTTCTCCTTCTCTGAGGAATTAATTGATGAAGTTCCTATTCTCCAGTCTCTTCACCCATGCCTTTCTTCTTCTCCTCCTCCTCTGTTTTCTTCACTTGTTTGTGTTTTCACTCCAACAACTCCCATGACAGAAGGAGTCCTCTCCTCTACTGCACTCATTCTGCTTTGATAGAAGTGGTGTTTTATGTACAGTACCTATAATGTAGCTTTGTTCGTATTATATCACAGCAGTTCCCACTGCAATATGTTACAACCTCTTTCTTTTTTGTTTCTCTTTGTCTGCTCAGCTTTTGATTAGAGAACAAATAGCTTCTGTGCGCGCTCTTTTCTCCTGTCCTGATGGGAGCCCTGAGGTCCTCTCCTCTCCTCTCCTCTCCTCTCCTCTCCTCCCCTCCCCTCTCCTCTCCACTGTATTGTGTTTAGCTCTGCACATAGAAAAGCAGCCTTTAGTAATGCCATTTAGGAAATATTTAGATGTCTCTGGTTCTCAACAGATAGCAAGGGCAGCTGGTTTTTGAAGCAAGATGACAATGTATTGAAATGAGTTGCAGTGTCTCTAAACCTTTTGTTTGTCTTTGTTTGTGTCTCCATCTCTTTCCTGCTGTTCATTCCACAGATACCTTTGAAGCTTTGCTGAGGCAGGCGGAGAATCACACTAACACCCTCTTCCAGGAGGCGTACCGTAGCATGGCTGATCGGGCTGTGGGCCCGGTGCAGGAACTTTTCACAGACATTGGTCTCTTCCTGCTGGGGTCGGAGCTCAGTGTTGATGACTTAGTGCAGCGATTCTTTGATGCCCTCTTCCCACTGGTCTACAATCACCTGCTCAACCCGGGTCTCAGTGACATTTCACCAGGCTACGCTGAGTGTGTAAGGTTGTTAAGCCGTGATCTAAAACCATTTGGTGGAGCGACCAGCCTCCTTGCTGATCAGATTGCTCGCTCTGGGGTCTCTGGGAAGCTGCTTCTTCAGGCACTGCACCTCGGCATCGAGGTCATCAATACTACAGACCACCTGCAGCTGAGCCGAGAGTGCAGACGAGCCCTGCTCAAGATGCATTACTGTCCTCACTGCCAGGTTCAGATGCATGTCTCTGAATTGAGCTTATTGATCTGAATTAATGAAAGCCTTCAACAGAGTCACTGATCTCAGACAAATTTACTTCACAGGGCTTAACCCAATCCAGGCCTTGCATGGGTTACTGTCTCAACGTGATGCGAGGCTGTTTTGCGAGCATGGCAGAGATTGACACCAACTGGAGGGAGTTTGTTCTCTCGCTGGAGGGCCTGTCAGCACGGATGCACGGTTCTCAGAATTTAGAGCAAGTGCTTCTGGGACTTCACTTGCTGCTTCACGATGCTGTCAAACATGCTCAGAAAAATGGACCACGCCTCTCAGCACAGGTCAGAATGAGAGAAGAATAGATAAAGGATTCTGGAGTGATCTTTATTCTGAATTGCATGGCTATATCAGCTGCTTGCTCAATGTCACATAGGTATGTGGTGAAGAGACCAAAGATAAATTGCTTAATATTGCCCATTCTGCACACAACAGCAGCTTAGTCACACCAGACCAAAACATTTTAGGAAAAACATCCATGTGGGCAGTTCAGAAACTAAGCTGTTAAACTGTCTGACAGAGGAAGACTTGGGCTAAATTCAGAATGTCAGCATCTGCTCTTCACGCTCAATTACCCAAACTATAAAGTCTTTATCCAAACAATCTATAAATGTCCAGATGTAAAGATCTATTTTGACATATAAGATTGTGCCTGTAATAATATTTGTTGTGAAATAAATGCCAGATAATATTTGCTCCTTTGCTGCACCACAGCTCCATCTACTGGTTGACTACTGTGACTGCTGCTTAATAGGCTTCACATGCAGTGCTTTCAGAAATTGGAGATGACAGGCTTGGCCTTAATATACACATCTGTCGCTCACCAGGCTAAAATAAGGACAATTTGTCATGGACCAGTACAGTTTAACAAGATACATTTATGTCCATCTCTCTGGGTAATAGGTGCACAAACTGTGTGGTCCAGCAAGCAGAAAGCCTGCGCATTCAGTCAGCAACCAGCACAGCAGCAGCAGAGAATCCATTCCTCTTATGAGAGCGTCAGGAGACTTGCTCACTGTCAGGAGAAGGTAAGTGGGTGAAAGATACCAAATGTGTGCATAGAAAGAAGCTTCTGTTTCTGATTTTAGTTCAACAAATTTTCAGTAAATATGTAAAGCAAGTTTATTATTAGTGTGGCTGTGGTTCCAGGGACTTTCTCAACAGTCTGCGTCACTATCGTACCTACTACGGTGGCCTGGCAGATCAGCTGTGTGTGAGTGAGCTGGCCTCTGGTGATGGACTGTCCTGCTGGAACGGAACCGACATTGTAAAAAGGTTTGTTCTTGAAGAAGTCAATAATACAGATTGGCAACCAATTAAATAAAGCTAACATCAACTTCAGACTACAAACAATCATATATATGCAGTGTTTTCACATCTCCACAAATTATACCTAAGTTGAAGAACTTAGTTTTTCTTGCTTTCATTCATCAGTCTTTTAATTTGAAGTCCACCTGCACTCAAAGATGCATTTTGTCTATTGTTTCTCTTCTTGTGGATGTTTGACCTTCTCTGTGGAACAGGATGTACTGTATGTGTAGAGTTTGGCACTTCAAGGCTGTTTTCATATTCACTTGCTGAAGAGGGAAAGTTTCTCAGGGCTAAATCTGAGTTTAACTCATGTACACACAAGCTGATTGTTTGACATCGCATATACTTTGCAATGGTGCAGTATAAAACTTACAAAAGTGTGATGGTGAAACTGAGACTTTTCAGTTAACTTTAACATTCTGTGCCTGATAGCATTATAACCGTATACAGCAGATACATTTTGAAGCCAAAAATATTTAAATATTTGCAGGATTTTTAACTGAAGGAGGAAGGAGGAGATGTAATTTTTACACACTTTTAACAGGGCAGTTGAACATATTTTTGGTGGAAAAACATTTCACACACACATCATTCAAATCACTGTATATTTAGATCAGAAAAAAAACTGTGAAGTGGATTTTTTTTTGTTGTTGCTGCAAACATACCTTTAGGATATGGAACTAAATGTTAGTTAGTTTTTTAGGTATTGCAGTTAAACAAATATTGTGGCGGAGATATGATATCAGGTTTGCAGAGTACTATTAAACTAAACTTTGGTTATTTGGTTTAAGACCAACCTGGCCCTCAGATGACTTGAAAACCTCCCATATTCTGCTGGCAGATAAAGAAACAATTAAACTAGCTAAGAGAGATGGAAACATGTTACCTGAATATGCACATTTAGTTTGCATCAGGTGAGGTTTTCAGATTTATCAACATGTCATGGTACGACCCTGGCATGAGTAGACTGTACATCATTTGACCCTGGTTACATAAAGACACACACACACACACACACACACACACACACACACAAACACACACTCCCTTCATATATATACTACCCCCACAAACAAGCTGACACCGATGTAGAATTCATCTACTAGCTGTTGGTGCCCAAAGACATAGATCTCAGATATGAATGGTTGTGAACTGGAGCAGGTAAACTGGCCTCTTTCATAGCATCAGTCAGCGCCCTTGTCTCCATTACATCACAGCTCTCGATCTTACCCATGCTATCATCAGTTAAGGACCTCCTCATATATCGGTGGTCTGTGTTTGTTCCTCTTAACTGTCAGCTGCTGTCAGTGCTGCAGAAATGGCAGGCAGGGCCGTATTTCAATCCACGCCAAGGTTGAAGTTGCCAGTTCAGGTTAGACAGTCCATTGTAAATGATGACAGCCTTGTTGAGATTATTTCATAGCTCCTGTGAGTAGGTAAGAGGTAAAGGGGGTGGGGGGGGGGGGGGCGCTTGCTAACAT